TTCAATACAATTTCTATCTATAAATTTAGGAAGATGTAGAGTTCGCTCTTGTTTTCTATGTTATTGCTATACTTTTTTTTTGGGAAGATGTAGAGTTCGCCACTGTTTTCAATACAATTTCTATCTGTAGATTTTGGAAGATGTAGAGTTCGCTAGAAAATCCAGCATAAATCTAACTGAATGTAAAAAAGATTTAGAAGTGTCGCGTGTAGTCTGTTTGAAGGTAAGCGAATGCGGTCTGAGAGTGTCACTTCTCATTTTGGAAGATCAGTGTAAGAACATGGCAGCGAAAGAAAATTTGTTTTACATTTCAAGGTATTTGATTCAAAAGGTTTTATCAGCTCTGAAGTAATTATGAATTTTGCTGCTTCACCAAAAAGAAGATTTTATAAGTGAGGTATACTATCGAAGAAATTGTTTTAAAAAAACGCCAATGAAATCTTTTCGCATTTTAAACGAGGTCACTGAAATAGGTTGATCGCGAGAGAGTTTTTATAAAAACGTTTTTGGGACGTAGTCAGATCATAGATTTAGTTTAAGTACTATGTATCTTAATCTTAATCAGGAACACCTTTTGGAAGGTGATATGCTTAATTCTCATATTGAAAAACGAACTCTAATATAGCTCGAGCAAGGGGCAAAAAAAGAAAGTTTAGATGAAGATCGAAGGGAGCTTCGAATTGTTTCTCTCATGTTTCACAAGCATGGTTCAATATCCATTTAAAGTGTTACCTCGATGGACGCTTGTTTGAAGAGAACTCTAATACCAACACCTAAATCTTGTCCCGTTTACATTGTTTCCACAGTTTTGTTGTTGAATAATTATATATTTGGGTTCCAATTAGTTTCTTTTCAGTGGACTGTTTATCTTATGTTAGTATGGAAACTACATAGAGATCCCATACAAAAACAGGCTTATGACGTTCATATCGGTAATTCGATCCAATGAACTCTAAATATGAGACTTAATTTAGAAAAAGAAGAAGAGCACTACGTAGTTTAGCACACTCTACTAATAAGAGCTGAATATATCGAAACCCTGCAGGCATATATCAAACGAACTCTACATCTTCCTAAACCAGAATATAGAAATAACATAGACAACAAGAGCGAACTCTACATCTTCCTAAACTAAAATATAGAAATTACATAGAAAACAGTGGCGAACTCTACATCTTCCTGAATTTATAGATAGAAATTGTATTGAAAGCACTAGCGAACTCTACATCTTCCTAAATTTATAGATAGAAATTGTATTGAAAACACGAGCGAACCCTACATCTTCCCAAATTTATAGATAGAAATTGTATTGAAAGCACTAGCGAGCTCTACATCTTCCCAAGAAAGTATAGAAATAACATAGAAAACAAGAGCGAACTCTACAAATTCCAATTCTTCAAACAAAATGGCTGTTAAAATTCGTTTCAGTAAAAAATATTAAATAATAAAAGTAACGATTTTAATTTTCGGAGTTTTTTTCGAAGAAATGAGTTTTAACGAATTAAAAATTGAAAATTTGACACTTTCAGTAGCTTTTAATGTGAAAAATTCAAATTAATTGAAAAATGAAATATAATTTATTTTAATAAACTTTGAATTTTCGACTGTATGTTCGCAAATGAGAGGATACCAGATTTTTCATTTTGATTTATAGGTGCCAAATTCAAGCGACATGGTGCGCTCACAATGCCTCTATTTCGTCGTAACAAAATTATTTCGCATATTAACGTAATTATTGATGGTACTGACAAACTATTAGATAGATGGCGTGCTAGACCATCTGGATAGATACATACGGATATTATCGAGCAGTGTCAAAATCTTCTACTTGAAGTCTTTGGACTGATTGCTTTTGATTACGATTTGGAGACACTTGATAATAATAATTCAGGAAATAAGAATGAACTAACTAAAGCTCTAAGAGATATCATGAGTATATTTAGAATGGTTTTATATGCACCTAGAATCATTTCAATTATTTGAAATTGAGCTCTCGATATCAACGAGCACAGATAACCATTGAACGATATCTTAATAAAAAGGGTCGAACAAGAAATGGCTCAAAGTCCAGATTCAATAGCACAACGAAAGAAAACATCATTGATCGGATCACTAGTCAGCGCATTACAAACAGATGAGAAAGCTAAAGGAAAAAAAAAGGAAGAAGATAAAAAAGGTAAAATTTATTCGTAAAATCTTTTCATTCGATCATCGTTTCCAATAATTCATCATAGATGTGTGTACTTAATCTGTGTCCGAAAGATTACACGCCAAAATTTACGTGACACTTTTGAGGATTGAGTCGAGGTAGGGAATGATACACACTTCAAATTTATCGTATCTTATCGATCACTTCTCGTGATGTATATCTTAAAAGGTTTAAGAGTTGTCGATTTTTGACAATTGATAAATTTCATTTTTCTGAAGTCGCAACGAAAAGATTGTTCATGCCCATCTTTCGGACAGATGGGCACATCTTTGTCATAATATCATAAAAATTATTGCAGTACAAAAGATAAACTTTTCTATCGAGTCGCTGATCGAGCTGAAATCTTCAGGGTAGACCGTTAGGTGAATTTGTAATTCGATAGCACAAACTAAATTGTCTCAACAGAGTTTCAACGACAAACAGTCAACTTTATACAATATGTGTTCGAATTGAACTATGACTGTAGCTTATCTTAATTGTTTTGTTCTTTCACTTCTAACATTCTGCTGTTGACAGGTTTATCACGAAAGGAACTTTTTGATGAGATGCTCATGTTTATGATTGCTGGTTATGAAACGACGTCTATCGCTCTTGCTTGGTCTATTTATCAGCTAAGTAAACATCCACGAGTTCAACAAAAGATCAAAGCAGAGCTAATACAGTATAGATGTAGTCAATATTTATCATTGGATCATCTCGACTCACTTATTTATTTGGATTGCTTTATCAATGAAGTACTTCGTTATACTCCAACGATTGATGGAACAAGTCGCACAGTGATCGTTGAAGACTGTCTACCCAAAAGCGGTACTCGACTCTACAAAGGTAATCAAGTACTCATTCCGACATCTGCTCTAGCTCGAGATGCTCGTCACTGGAAAATCGATCCTGATTTATTCTATCCAGAAAGATTTCTTAATGAAGATAAAAATCATCATCCATATGTATTTCTACCATTCGGAAGTGGCCATCGTCAATGTCTCGGACAAAATTTGGCTCAATTAGAACTCAAAGTAATTCTAGCTCGCATGCTGCAACAAATAACTATCGATGATGGCGGTCCTGAAGTCAATGGAGGCGGATATATTCAAGCATTGACTATCATGCCCAAACATGTCGGAGTTACTGTTGAATTCAACTGATGCATGAACATTGATACTCTTCTTTGTCACTTTTACTGCTTAATTTTGCTGAATAAGTGAACAAGTTTAGTGATAAATTGATAGGAAATAGTATGTTGATAACAAATTAGATTTTCGAAATTACTGACATAGGGCTAGGTAATTTGTTAGGAAGTTGTGGTGATTAAGAACTCGTAGGAAACAAATTCTAAGCAAATAACAGACATTTCTTTAGTATCGAAACTTATAAATGAGGCTATAAGTCTTTAGAAATATAGGAACCGACTCTTGAAAATCTAAGAATTTTCGATAATTCTGAAAATTTTCCAGTAATTTCTTAAACCTCATATGATTTGAGGATTTGAATCACACATGCAATAAAATCGTATGGTATATTTGTTCTTAGTAGATACTAGAATTTTACATTAATTTCCGAAATCCTACATACACCCCCACACAGTGGACAACCAGGCGATAAAATCGATTTTCGAGAGTTGATTCGCATTCAGAGGTGGGATCGGTTGGCATTTTTGCCAAACCGAACCGACCGTAACCGAAAAAATTTCTAACCGAACCGACCGTAACCGACCGAATTTCAAAAATTTCGTAATCGAACCGAGTTTAGAGAAAGGGAAGTTTAGCTTATGTTAATTAGGGTATTAGTGCTTTATAAATTAGCAACAACAAATCGAACAGTAGCAACTATGAGCAATCAACATCTAGAGAAAGTAACGAAGAAAGATTATTTATTGAATCCTGTTACTGTATGATAACTTTCTTACCTCTCACAACAAATTTAAAAAACATGTGAGATAATACGAGTTACGAACAACAGCTAATTGTTGTACGATTACACTCTTTTTTCTTCTTATGTCTCAAAAAGTCCATCGAACTCAAATCAAAAGATTATGTCGATTCTTTCTAACCGAACCGAACGTAACCGACCGAATTTTTTAAAATTTCTAACCGAACCGA